CGGTCAGGGCCAGGCTGGTGGGCTGGGTCTCCCCCCACTTGGCTGAGGGTGGGAGGCTGGCCCTTCTCAGCACTGCCGCCTACAGCTCTCCTTTCTCCACCCCCTGAGACCTTTCAGCCTTAAACCGCCGAGGGCTGCCCCTGCACCCCCTCCTTCTCCAGTGTCCCAAGACAAAGCCCCAATTTCTGAGATTCACAAGGAAAGTCCTTATATCATTATCCTTTTTTTGTCTTTCTACCTCCTACTTTTCTTTTTTTCTTTTTCTCTACTCTCCTCCCTGCCTCAGTCTTCCTATCTGTGGGCTAATGGAGGAGGTGAAGGAAGCGAGGGGTTCAAGGAGAGGACAGAGCGCTTCTCATTCCTGCTTCCGACTCATCTCCCACATTCAATAAGGTTCTCATTAACTTGGGGAAGAGATTCAGAGGGTCGTGTCCACACAGACATCCCCCCCCCCTCCAGGGGCTCCCAAAGCCACCATCTGCTGAGCACCGCGAGCCCCCAAATCCTGGGGGATATTTAAAAGGTGAGAGGAGTGCTTTGGCCGGGAGGGGGTCAAACCCCAGGGCCTTTTGCTGCGGTGCAGAGTTTCCTGAGGGTTTTGTCACACCCTGCTCTTCCCAGCCAGCAGCCAGAGCCTGGGGGACCATCTGGTTTCTCTCTCCCCTTCCTGTCAAAGTCGAGCCCCCAGCATCTGTGTCAGAGCTGCCTAGGTCGCCCACCCTCGGTGGTGCCCTCCTCCCAAGGCTGGGCCTGGGGTGGGGCCGCCCTCTCTGTCCTCGGGAGCCCTCCGCCTTCTCAAAGAGCACCACCACCCTCCCGGCTGCGCGCACCTCCGTGGGGCCTGGTCCTCCGAGGGACTCCCGGCTCCCCTGCCCCGCCCCCCGTTTTGCATTCAATTGGGAGCGCTGTGCGTTTGATCCTCCTCTCTGGGTTTCCCCTTCTGGATGCAAGCCGGGCAGGATTGAGAGATCAAGAGGCGCCACTGGCGTGGTCCTCCCGGGTCCTCCCGGGGAGGAAGGGGCTCAGGCTAGGACAGAGGGTCTCCAGGAGGTCGGCTGCCTCCTCTGGGCTCCGGGGCCGAGGCTTGAGGGACGACCCCGCCCCAGCCCCAGCCCCAGCCCAGCTCCCGCGCCGGTTCCTCTCCCGCCTGCCGCCACCACCCTTTCCAAGCAGCCTCAGTTTCCCCTTTCGCGAGGGGCCTATTGCACCCCCGGGCGCAGGAGGAAAAAAAATTTTTAACCAAATGTCACTCCCAAAAGCATCCTTCCGTCAACACCAGATGAAGAGAGGTCGTATTTTTGACACAAGAAGGAAGCGCACAGGAGGGGGCTGGATGAACACACTCTCTGACGCGCTGGTCCGGAGGGGACTTTGATGGTGTGGTTATCCCTGGGTCCTGACGGTTCTTCCCGACGCGGCGGGAGGAGGAGGAGAAATTCGTAGGGGGAGCGTCGCCGGCAGCCGGCGGGCCTGGGCGACCCCATCGAGTCGGAGTGGAGGTGATGCGGCGGCCTAAGTAGGGTCTGGCCCAGCCCCCAGGGCTTCTCACCTCCCCAGCCTGCCGCCCCCTCCCCGCTGGGTGACAGGCTTAGGCCCCGGCGGCTCCTGTGGGATTGAAATTCTCGGGACTTCAAAAGCTCGCGGCCCGCTTCCTCCCGGGCAGGGCCGCGCCGGGCCGCGGGAGGCGGGTGGGAACCCCCGGGAGGCGACGCCGAGATAAGACGCGCTCCAAGTGCTAAATGGACTCGGAAGCCGGGTCCGGGCCACCAGAAGCGCTGACCCTGCGGAGCCACTTCGCTTCCCCCGCAAACCCGCCTCGGGAGAGCGGCGGCGGCGGCGGCGGGGGCGGGGAGTGCCTCCGAGGCCTGCGGGCCCCTCCGGTGCGCAGGTCCGCGGCCTGAGTACCTGCTGCGGCCAGATGCGGGGCCTCCCCGCGCCCGATCGAGCGTCCCCGCCGAAAGGAAGGGGCGAGGAGACCTGGAACAAGGACACAGGGTTCCGAGAGCTGGTTTGCTGCTTCGGTGCCAGCAAAAAAAATATTTTTTTTGACCGGGAAACGATTGGTTTTGCTTTCCACTTTGATAAAACCTGGGAAGAACAAAGGGAGCTTCCCTTCAAACAAGAAGCGTCGCCCGGCTCCTGTGGATTTTGGGCTTTCGGTCATCTTTCCAGGCGTGGTGCAGAGGGTTGACCCTCGAAGTTCGGAGCTGCTGGGTCTCGAGGCAGGGGTCGTGGGCGGTGAGGGGTCCCGTCTGGTCCCTGGCAGCTGGGGAGGCCCATCTGGGAACCCAGAGCTCAGAGGCACTGCGGGATGGACCCTCCAGGGGTCCCGTTGCCCCGGGGAAGATCACTCCTAGATGCCTTCCCCCACCCCCTTGCGCACCCTGCAGAGGTAGTTGCTGGCTTCCAGAGCCTCTGGTGGGGAACACAGAACAGCCTCTCCTTCAGGCAGGCAGAACCTGCGGCTTCTGGAACTCTGGTTTGGACAAGGGCTCCCTTGTCCCCGCACCTCCTGAAGCAAAGGGCCAGGCTTCTGGGGCAGGAAACGGGATGCTTTCCGGACCCAGCTGCCTCCTCCTCCTCCTCGGGTCCTCGGAGCCAGGAACTCTGCAGCTTCCCCAGCCTGAGCTGTGCCCTGAGGCCTGGCCGGCCCACAGCCTTACATCCACCTCCTGCCCGTTCCAGAGCTGGAGGACTCAGCGTGGGACTGGAGCCCTGAGCACCTCCCCTGCCTCAAGCCACCAACGTGGAAGGGCTCAGGTTCTGGTCAACGAGCAATTCCCCAACACCCCAAAGACCCCAAAGACCCAGGCAACGCCCCCCCTTCCTCGCCCTGGCAGAGATGATAGAGGTTGTTTTCCTTCACTGTTACTCTCCTGAAATTTGCTTTTATTACGAAGGGCATTGATGCCCATTTCTTGTTTAATCTGTATAACATTCCTCTAAAAGGCCTTAACAAGTTGATGTGCCTTTCCTCCCACAATGGTAGAGTGACCAGTGGTCTTGACTCAAGTGGCCAGGTCCTAGCTGAGTTTCAGACCCTGGACCAAGGCCTTCTTCTCAGGCCTTGTCCCTCCTGGCCTGCAGGGATGTCTCAACACCCAGCAGTGGCTTAACCTTCCAAAAGGCAACATCCACGCGCCCCCCACCCTCTCTGGGATCTAGGTCAGCCCAGAGGCCTCTCTGAAAAGGTACACAGCTGCCCACAGAAGAGAAAGCTCAGAGCCTACACTGTGACTTCCCAGGAGGGCAAAGGGAAACTCCATCTGAAAGTCTGGGAAATCCACGTGATGACAGCAGTCACTGTTCCAGGCATTTCACCTGTCCTACCTCTTTCCATCCTCACAAGAGACCTGACAAAGATACTAAGAATCATGCCTAGTTTGCAGCTGAGTAATCTGAAGCCCAGGAAGGAGGCTCATATATAAGCGAAATAACCCCCATCTCTCCAGCTTCAATCGGAACTATTAGAAAACGCCAGGCATTGCATTGGGAGCCTCTCCCTCCCAAAACTCTTGTGGTTTTTGCCAAAGCCCTTCCTCCTCCTCCTCCTCCTCATTCCCAGGTGGAGTCATACCAGTTGGGAGAAATGTGTGTGTGGTGGGGGGGAGAGTTGAGGGGCAGACAATTAACCAACCTCTGGTCGCTTGCTTTGGGCATAAAAGAGAGTAAAGGAAAAAAAAATGGCCCAAAGAGCATTTGGAAACTTCCCGGAGAAGACCCCCCAAGCCTTGCCCTCTTTTAGAACACAGCTCAGAAGCCGGGTGGGCATTGTGCAGGGACCCACAGGGAGGCTGGAGCCACTCAGGGATGTGGGGGAGGAGGGACTAACTGCCCTGCCCAAGCAGGTGGGAAGAGTCTTTAGGGCCTGAGTTCCAAAATACCAGAATTGCCCCTGCAGCAGCTGATTCTGGAGACCCTAAGAGACAAAGTGTAGACCCCCTTTGACCATCTCTATCTACTGTGGCCCCATGCACCTATCTGGGAAGGGGCAAAACTGTTTTAACCTTTTGAGAGTCATGGCCCTTTCACACATCTGGCAAACCTCAATGCACTGAGGTCAGCCTTCAGTTTCCAGGACTTCCTTAACCCTTACAGCCCCCTAGGGCCCCCAAACCCCAGGCACAGTTGCTTGCTCCCTTTGATAGGGGGTGTGACTTTACCAGGACATTTTCCCTTACGAGGGACAGCTACTTACCCAGGACTGACTGCTCAAAGTCACAAAACCTAAGGCACTGGCCAGGGCCCTCCACCCTGAACCCTGGACTGAGCACAGCCTGCTGGCTGTGCACATGCCTTCATCCAAAACCTAGGCCCTGGAGGTGCATCTGGGGCTGAGAATGACCAGTCTTGGGGCTTTTTCCTATAAAACAGGGCTCACCTTCCCTTGGGATAAGGAGGATCCCAAGGGAACTGGCAGTGGTCATGGAGTCCCCTTACACCAGGAATTCCTTTTCTGCAAGGGAGGAGGGGCACATGGCCAGTAGGTTTTCGGGTTTGTTTTTTATAGATTTCGTTTGGGCACGAACGCTTTCCAAGCGCCGGAGACGCCTGACAGCCCTACCCAATGGAGCGCCCCACGCTCGCAGCCTAGTTCCGGGAGGCGGGACCCGCCTGCTGCTACACCGGCCAGGGTGGTCCGACCCGGCGATCCGCGTCTCGGTGGAGCCGTCCCCGGGTGGGACTCCCTTCCGCGATTTAACCAGCCCCCCTCCCTGCGTGCTCCCTTCCGGTGCGGTCTCTCCGTGATCTGTTCCTGCGTGTCCACCGACCACGTGTCTGTCTCTCCTGGCTCCTGGTCCAAGGGGGGCGCCGAAGCGTCTTCCTCTCCCCCCACTCGGCCTCTCGGGGCCAGGAGACGCGGTGGCGCCAGGCTGCGAGCAGCGGAGGGCTCAGCCTCCCGAGCGAGGGTCAGACGGACCGCCCTCGGGCGGGGCAGTCCAACCCACGGGGCAGCCTAAGCCGCTCCCTCCGAGAAACGGGACAACCCTGGTGTGAGGAGCTCGGGGACCGGTTTTGATCGAGCTCCTTCCCATGGGCGGGGGCGGGGGAGGGGGGCAGGCTAGTCCCCGTCCTCCTGTGGCACTTCGCGGAGCCCCGATCGCGTACAGTCCCCCCCACTGCGCGGGGGAAACCGGCTCTCAGAGAGGTTCAGGAACCTGCCCGGGGTCACACAGCTGGGACTTTAACCCCGATCGTCCAGCTTCCGGAAGCCGCGCTCTCCCTCTCTCTCTCTGACCTGAGCCTTGTGTCCCCAGGGCCCGAGCACAACCTTCCCCAGCGCCGCAGACGGACGACCGCGGTGCCCCGGGCACGCGTGAAGGGCACGGACAGGGGCCACCCTTCTCTGGTGGTTTTGCCCGATGTGGCAGCGCGTGAGCGACGGGCAGGACTGCTGTCGGGCTGTCACCGTAAGTCTCAGAGGAGCGGGACACCACGGGAAGGGTGGCTGAGAACAGGAAGGGCCGGAGGGCGCCGCGACGTGGAGGGACTGTGCGTTCCTGTCCCCGAGGCTTGGCTGGAGTGAGTGGGGGTGCGCACGCGCCTGCGGCAGGGGGTTTCAGAGGGTGGGGTGCCGGCCCAGAGGACGGGGTGCCACCCACCGCCAGGACTGGAGTGCGCACACAGACCTGGCCCGGACCTGGAATCTCAGTCCCTTCCTGTCCCACGCGGGGCCGAGCCGAATGCAGTCCGCAGCCCTCCGAGCTCCCTTTTCTGACCTGGGATCCGGCCGACCACCCCGTCCCAGCCCGTGGCCCTTTCTGCGCCCTCCTCCCCTCCCGCCCCTCGCCGCGGCGGTGACACAGCGCAGCTCCCGAACTGCTGTCTTGGTGCGCCCCCCACTGCCGACCGCCAGAGGCGGAAATCGTGGTGAGTCCCGGCGTCCACGCTGGCTCCAATCCCGCCACTCCGCCGAAGGGGCAGCCCACCCCGTGCTCCCCGGAGAGCAGCTGACCTTTGATCCGTAGGGAGCCTCACCCCGTTTAACCACCCACCATCTAAGCTGGACCCCAGGAGGGACTGGTGGCAGATCGACCCCCCCTGCTCCTCACCACCACCACCTTAGCCTAGGCTTCTAGGAACGGGTACCTAACCGTGAGCAGCCCCTTGAGGGGCTGGAGCAAAGGAGTAACTCCTTTGGGAGGGGGGCGTGGAATCCCCCCACCCCCTAAGCACATGCTTGGGGAGACTGGCTGTCATACGGGAGGGCCACATGGGTGGGGGTGCCCTTGTAGATTCCCCTGGTCAGCCAGTCTGATCAGTCATGCCCCCGACACCCTGGCTGACCCTATCTGTTGCACAAGCTGAGGCACTGGGGGTCCCCTGGGACACCCCTGTCCCTGCAGACCTCCAGCGATTGTTGCTTCAGCCTTATTTCGTCCTGCGGCCCATTTATGAACAATGCACTCTTCTGGGATTCTCTTTGACCGTGTTTCTCAAAGTGTGGTCCCTGCATCACCTGGGAACTTGTTAGCATTGTAAATTTCAGACTTACTGAATTAGAAACTCTTGAGGGGGGTGCGCAGCAATCTGTTTTGACAAGCCCTCCAAGTGGTTTTGGTGCACACTCTGGTTTTATTATTTTTTAAAAGATTTTATTTAGTTAGTTTTAGAGAGGGAAGGGAGGGAGAAAGAGAGAGAGAGAGAGAAACATCAATGTGCGGTTGCTGGGGGCCGTGGCCTGCAACCCAGGCATGTGCCCTGACTGGGAATAGAACCTGGGATGCTTTGGTTCGCAGCCCACACTCAATCCACTGAGCTACGCCAGCCAGGGCTCACATTCTGGTTTTAGAATTGCTACCCTATGAATTCATTTCATTACCCTGGTTTCTATGTTCCCATGATTCTCCACTGTGCCTGGAATGTCATCTAAAAAAAATACCTTATTTTTTTTTTGGTACCCCTGATACAGAATTTTATGCCTCTGCTACCCATGTTTACTCACTCCTGTTGTTTCCACTTTATGGCCTCCACGGACCTCTTGGCACACTAACCTGTCACTCAGTGGTGTCGTATCTCATTCAGCTCCTCACTCTTCTTCTCATTCATCCACTAAGGACACGCCCCACCCGCTGGCAGGTTACAAACTGCTCTGGAACTGAAGCATCTGGAGCAGAACGGAACACTTGCCCCACCCAGAGAGGTCTCTCACAAAAGGGCATCAGGGTCCTTGGCGGGTGATGGACTTGCTGTCTCCAGGGTGGAACACAGCAGATCTGCCGTGTGCGGGTACCCCTATCCTGCCAGAGAACAGAGAGAATGGAAAGAGGGCCTGGGGACTGGGAAATGTGAGGCAGAGAAACAGGTTTTCTGCGGGCTCCCCAAGGACTCTGGGCGGGGACACGAAGGGGCTCTGCCAGCGCCTCCCGCTGGCAGAGGGTGGTTGAGGCATCTGCTGCGGCTGGTGGAAAGCAAGCCTGTTTAATAGGAACCAAAATGGCCTGGGCCATGTGTCTGTACATATGGATGCTCTTTCACTGAGTCAGATTTTTCTAGTATCAGACATACTCTGGGGTGCTATTTAATCAGCCAACTTTATACCTAATGTTATAAATTATGCCGTGTGGGGCCACGATGCCACCAAGAATACCCACACATGAAGACAGCGGTGTCTTCTGGGACCTGGAGATGGCTCTAAACGCTTTGCTCCTAGCCTGTCGCTAATCCACACAATTCCATGGTGAGTTGGGGTGGAGAAACCCAGTCAAACAGAGTTAAATGCTTCCTCAAGGTCACACAGCCTGTGAGTGGCAGGGGTGAGATCTGAATCCCAGCAGTGTGATGCCCAAGGCCAGGCCCCCACTCACTGGACTCAGCCCGAGGAAGCTAAGAGGCCATGCCCTGTGATCTCACAGGACAGATTTCATTCCCAAAGGTGGCTACACCAATCAAAGCCCCGAGAAGACTGCAACTTCATTGGGCATTTCTACCACCATTGTCAATAATGGTTAACAGTTGGATGGTCTTTTCTTACTCCAGTAACATTTTCACACTCTCCCATTTGATACCATAATTCTGTGTAATAGGAACAGCTGTTAATATACGGTAATCCCCATTTTATAGATGAAAAAACTGAGGCCCGACGAGGTTACTTGCCCTTCCCCCAAACTCATTCAGCTACTGATGTCAGGCAAAGCAAGGAACACTGTTCTTCCTTTGGACATATTTGTCTTTATTTCTTATTTTTTTCTTTCATTCTCACTTGAGACACATGTTCATTCATTATCATCTTAATCCTTTTTTTTTTTGAAGATTTTATTTATTTATTTTTAGAGAGGGAAGGGAGGGAGAAAGAGAGAGAGAAACATTAGGGTGCAGTTGCTGGGGGCTGTGGCCTGCAACCTAGGCATGTGCCCTGCCTGGGAATCGAACCTGCGACACTTTGGTTCGCAGCCCGAGCTCAATCCACTGAGCTACGCCAGCCAGGTTAATCCTTGATATTTCTCCATTACTGTAGGCTGCTGCGAAGGCTTCTCTCTTTAACACATTCTTTGCTTCTCCCAGGTCCCTAATGAGGTAGAAAAGGCCACAGCTTTTCTTTCCAGATTCCAGTTGAGGAAGCCAAGATTCAAAGAGTTCAGGGGACCCGACCAAGGTCGCAGAGACACAGCAAGGATCAGGGTCTCAGACTCTTCACAGATGACAGTATGAATGTTGTAGAGAATTCTACAGATTGAATGAGTTATTCTTAATTGCTACCCATCCTCAAAGCCCAGCAATACTGACAGAGACACAAAGGAAAAGCAGACAGTTCTGAAATGCTACCGACAATTTAAAAGTATACATACTATGATGTACTGTTAACGCAAATTGTTATTATTGTAATGGACTTAAAGTTGTTTCATCACTTCCATTATTGGCAATATGTCAACTTGGGAATGTTTTTCTAATTCTTCTAGAGTCAGCCTTACTGTGCTTGGGAAGAATTAGAAGAGGCAAGGAAGGTCCTTGTTTTAAAATAGGCACCGAAAGGGCTGAAGGAGCCCGCATCCAGGCTGTAACTCTGCCCTGGTCATAGGCCCTCAGGAACGGTCTGCACTTTCGTAGGCAGCAACAGTCAGGCCATGATTTCAATCTGAAATAAGGCCCATCGACAACTGAAGAGCCCAACCACGCCCCCCCCCCACCAAACAACTGATGAATTTTCCTTTTATCAGAATCTTCCTTCCATCACGGTCTTCATCTTTTCTCAGCCCGGGTGACGGATACAGAAAACCCCTGCCTCCTCAGGCTCTGAGCTGGAAGCTTGATGTGCCCACTCGCATCTAAGCCTCACCCCTCAGAGGGAAGGATGGGTCTCCCATTTTACAGACAAGGCAACTGAGGCTTAAAGAGGTGGAGCAACCGGCCTGAGGTCACGCAGGTAGCAAATGGGAGAGCCGGGAGAAAACCCAGGCTTGTAAATACCAAATTTTACTTCCAAAAACTATGACTTCATTTTCTCTATGGATATAGACTCTGAGATTTTCTCTTTTTTCCCCCGCTGTTACTGTTTTTGTTTTATTTATTTACATTTTATATTTTGGTTACCATTTACATTTAATATTTTTTAAAGATTTTATTTATTTATTTTTAGAGAGAGAAGGGAGGGAGATAGAGAGAGAGAAACATCAATGTGTGGTTGCTGGGGGTCATGGCCTGCAACCCAGGCATGTGCCCTGACTGGGAATCGAACCTGTGACACTTTGGTTTGCAGCCCACGCTCAATCCACTGAGCAACGTCAGCCAGACATTCAATATTTTTGTATTAGTTGCAGGTGTACAGGATAGTGGTTAGACAACCATAACCTTTACAAAGTGGTCCCCTCCATCTTTCAAGTACTCACCTGGCACCATAGTTATTATATTATTATTGACTGTATTCCCCCTGCTGTACTTTAAATCCCATGACTATTTTGTGCTTCTTAATCCCCTCACCTTTTTCATCCAGCTCCCCAACCCGCCTCCCCTCTGGCAACCAGCAGGCTATTCTCCGCATCTGTGTGAACTCTGAGATTTTCTGATCCAGCAGGAGCAGAGCCGTGAGGAGCTGATCTGAAGTGTAGCAAGGCCTGGAGGGAGAGAGCCAGATCCCAGGGACCTCTGGGAAGGCAGAAGATGATCTGTCACTGCTGTGAGAACAGGATCGATGGTGGAGGAGTGCTCCCAAGCTTGCCCAGCCAACATTTCTGGTGCTTCAAAAACAGTCGATGACAAGGTAAGAGCATGCACTTGGAAAGCAGACAGACTTGAGCTTGAACCCCAGCTCTGGCACTTACTAGCCTGTGGCCTTGGGCAAGCCAAAGCTGCAGGAGGTCAGATCTAAGGTGCACCTGTCAGGGAGATAATACTAGGCCTGCCACTCAGAGCTGCTCTAAAGAGTTCACAAAATGCTAAACAGAAAGGGCCTAGCACAGTGTGCGGCCTGCAATGAGTCCTCAATAAATGCAAATTCCCTCTTGTCCCACCCTCTCCGTGTCTCTATTTCACCCTACTGTGTCTGCGATTCTCCCTTCTCAACATCACACTCCTGGTGCCTGAGAACCAGCAGTGACTCTGAAGTAAACAAGAATGGTACCAGGGAACCAGTAATATGTGTACGCCCCTCTCCCTATGTGGTGGTAACATTCCCCAGAAACAAATAAGCATATAAAAAAACGAGGGTGTGTTCATGCATCTGCTAGAATTAGGCAAATCCAGAGATGGTAAATGCATGGCTGAAATAAAGGACCATCTGGCTGGCATCTTTGCAGTGCTATCTGTTGTAGACGCCATCTATGACCCTGTGTCCTTTCTGTAACTTTATTCACTGGGATCTGGGATAGTGAGGATAATGGGGATATACCTAGTGTGATCGTGGAATGGTCTCTTCATGGCAGAGTACAGGCATAGGCAAGTGATCTGAAGGTAATAATAAGCTGCTGTTACTGCCTTCTTATCTATAGTGGCAATTTAGCCCAATAGTTAAGTGCACAGACTCAAGCTAGACGCTTGGGTTCTCATTTCAGCTCTGCCACTCACTCTACTCACTGAGTGGTGTTGGGCTGCCAGCAGAAATGTGACGTGGCAATGCCCAGGTACCCTCTCTCAAGGACAGAAATGTACAGGGGTGAGCAAAAGTAGGTTTACAGTTGTTCATGTGGCGAATCATGGAATAATTCATAAATAATAACACATCTTACTGATACAAATAATAACAACAAACTGTTTCCTGTACTCACAACTGTGAGCCTACTTTGCCCGTCCCTTTATGAGCGCTGTGCACAGGTTTCTCTGCTGTCCCTCTGTCCCATCGCCTGGAGCTTGTCTGCTGATGTGCTGGACTTACGTAGGATGAGGAACACGGTGGAGGAAGCCTGGGTCTCTGACGCCGAGGAGCGGCACACCAGACACGCCAAAGGCCTACAGGAGAGTGGGAGACTAAGGAGTCATGTTTTCCAAATTAAAAGCAGAGAGCTAGAAAGAGGAGGGAGGGAAAGAGAAAAAAGTGCTGTAAGAAAATGTAAATTTCCCAAGTTTTTCTGGGTGGTGATAAAAGGGTGTGTGTGTGTGTGTGTGTGTGTGTGTGTGTGTGAGATATTTTCCACTGTCAAGTTGTACAATATCTTCATAGAACTTCAGGGTACCCTAAATCTTTTTCCAGGCAGGCAGCCACACCAAAAAAAAAAAAACCAGTGCTAAAGCACAACCAGTGACCTAATTATTTTTACATGTACAATATGCCACCTTTAAAAAATAAAATCATTTTACCTGACAGTGATATCACCTCAGAGAGAGATTGCAGAGGGATTGTGAAGCGGGCAACGGAGAAGTGTTTCTGGAGATAAAAAGCCAATGAGCTAGCGTTTCTCAGGAAAGAGCCAGCTCTTCTATTTCTATTTCTGTTCTCAATTTGCTGTGAGACCTTCAGTGAGCTATTAAACATCTTGGACCTTATTAAAATGGGGTGGTAATTTCATATAGAGTGGGTATTGTTAAGCCTTCTTGATTGCAAATCCAAATTGAGCCTTCCTCGCAAAAATGTCGCTTTTGTAAGCAGTTCGCTTGCTGCGGGGAGGTAAGAGGATGCATCTGAGGGGCCAGTGCTGTTACGGATAGATAGTCCACGCGCCAACTTAACAGAAAGGCCTCGGACTCTTACTTCCTTGATGGAGAGACATCAGGGTCTCTGGCCTCTTTTACATGCTTTGGTCTCGGGTGGGAAGTGCCTCGGAGTAAAATCAGAAACCGTTCCAGCTGTACGTCTTCTTTCCCACCCCAGTTATTATCTCTAACAACTCATTTTCCACCCGCCGTGGTTCCCTGTGCTGGGTTTATGATGGGGAGTCTCCACCACTGTAGGCCCTCTGCTAGTCTAGCCAATTCCTTCTGTCTCCCGCAGTGAAAAATGGGGACAGAACCCAGAATAATGACAGGGCTGGCACTGTGGTGTGGCTGTTACTTTTCTGGTCGCCATCCACCCTATAGTTGGCAAGTTTGAACGTTTGGGAAAATTCCCCTCATGGCTAGATGCACGAATTTCCAACGGGGTCACATTAGCACGTTCAGGACTTCGCAGGAGGAGGAGGAGAGGACGGGGGACAGCTGCCCGCAGTGCCAAGCAGCTCCTAAAAGGAAGGGCCGTGCCGCCCTCTGAGGGCGTCTCTCCAGCCCAGGTTACAATCACGTGCACTGTCTTTGGCCACCGGCTGTTTTAATGACACAGGTGGTCCCTCGGGCAGCCAGGAGAATGGGCCAGTGGTCAGGAAGGCGGGCTCTCTGGTCTTGCCTCTGCCATTACCTGACTGGGTGACCTTGGACAAGTCACTTTACTCCTCTGGGCCATTAGAGTACCAATCCCAACTCGGCCTCACACTGGACGTCTTGGCCAATTCACAGCATCGAGTATCAGAGGAAATAAAGGACTTGTTTTCTGGGGGCCTCCCCCGTGGCAGTTTGGACTCCAGCAGGGGACAAACACCGATGCCAGCAGGAGTGCCCTGGGAGTCGCAATGAGAAAGACCACGCCTGGGTCACGTTAGAAATTGAGCAGACCGGGATGGCAGATTCTCCAACTGATAGTGTTGCCAGATACTTCATTTTCAGTGTTTTTACATGTTGGCAACTAATCTGAATTGTCATAAAATTCCGTATTGGCCAATGACACCAGGCCGGAAGCAGCGTGCTGGGGCGGCTGGAGGCTTCTGCAGTCTGCAGGGCCAAGGAAGAGGGGACTGGCTGGGGACCTGGGGCCAGGGGTGGGTGCAGCTCTCCTGGCCAAGGCTTCACAACCTTGCTGCTCCTACCCCGGCCTCAGTTTCCTCAGCGCACCTGAGTGGCATTACAGGTCAGCCTGGGCCTACTGTCCTCTACCCACAGGTGGGCCTGCCTGTCGCGGGAGGAAAAAGGAGGACGCGGAAGGCAGGAACGAACCCTCAGGGCGCTCAAGGGTCGGCTGTGGGTCCCCAGCGTGCTGGGTCCAGCCACACCTGAAACACAACTCCTGAGTCCAGCCACACCTGAGACGCAGGCGACTGCAAGCTGCAAACAGCACCGCCAGCAGGTGCGGAGTGACTCGGCCGCAGCGGGCGGTGGGGGCTGGGGGGATGGGGGCTGGGGCGGTGGAGGGGGCGGGGTGTCTGGGACACCGCACAGCCGTACCTGCCCACAAACCGCAGGGAGCGCGACTTCCTGCCCACGGGAGGGGCGGGGCGGACAGGGGGCGGGGTAGGGGGGCCTGCGCTGCAGCCAGGGAATTCCCTAAAACCAGTAACACTCCTTCGTTGGGAGGAAATTCGACCCTTGAGGCACCGTGGAAGCCCATTCTAGCTTTAGTTTAAAAACGGATTCTCCATCTGTTGAGAAAGCGCTGTGCTCCAGGCGGCGGTATGTGGCCCCCGTGAGTTGTGCGGAGCCCTGCAGACACCCCGACCCCCAGGAGCCCTCGCTGCTCCCGTCGGACACGCAGCGGGGCTCCCCGAGACCGTGGTCCTTTCGCGAACCCCTCACCTCTCCCAGCCTGCCCTCCACGTTGGCGAAGCTCTGTCCACTTCCAACAAAGAAGCCTATTTTCTATGCAATTCAGATTGTGCGAAAGAACTTTCTAAGTGTCATGATAGCATATAAGGACACTGTCACACTCACACTATTGGTGATACATTAAAAAAATTAAACCTCTTTGGAGGTAATTTTGACATATATGAACTTACAGTTATTATTCCATTTGTCCCCACAATCTTCAAATTTTCCTTATACAGTGCATTAAAAATATTTACTACAACATTTTAGTGATAATGATAAAGTGCAAATAACTCTCCACTGGCATATAAATAAAATAGTTAAATAAATAATGAGTATACACATTGAGAAATACTTTATGTAAAAGGACATCTGTTATCAGGCAAACAGGTTTAAGCTTACATTAAATTTTTTTTTAAAGGAGGTTGTAAAAAAGAGCAGTATATATGGTATGATTCCACATTTGTTAAAATGCAGAAAAAAGTTGTAAGTAAATGTCTGCCACTCACTCGGATATAATTAGTGACCTTTTATGTCATAGGTGGAAATTCTTACATAGGAAATGTATGTATATTTTATATGCACATTTTTATATAGGAAAATACACATATTTCATATGCACACACATCTGGAGGAATATACACCCAAATGTTACACTGTCTACCTTCAAGGTGATGAGAGGGGAGTATGGGGAACATTAACTCACCACCATATATTTTTTCAAAGTTTGCTTCTTTTGAAAAAATAAGCATGCGTTCATTTTGTATTTCCCACCCGCAATAAAGATTTTTAAAAATCATACCCTTTCCTCTTTTCGAGACCACCAGATAGTTATCACTTGTCCCTTCCTCTCTGATCTTTTTATTATTATGTTAATTTGCCCTTCACCCCTGAACGGTATCCGAGAAACTTGCATTCTTTTCAACTTACAAATCGCCTGGTTTATATGTGCAAACAACTTTTAAATCCTTTCAACCAAGAGAATGGAAGCAGTGAGAACATTACTTCCCCTCGATCTATCCTATAATCCAAATGAAAAGATTAGGGATAGTGTTTCTTGGCCCCTAAAAGCTTCGCAGTTTTTAATCCGTCACTTCTCAAATTCTGTGTGGATGTGGCCTGTTTTGTCCGCTAGCTGCACAAATTCTCGTCCTGTGCAGCAAACCATGAAAGCAGATATTTAGAACATGGCGTTTGTCTATTTAATCCAGAAAGGCTTCTATTTTATGGAGGCAGAGCCTTGGAAAGTCAGAACAGCATTTCCAGGGTCAGAAATCGGAGTGGGTTGGGCACTCTGGGCTGAAGAAGGGACACTGTGGGTGGAAGAGGCTGGGAGGGGACTGTGATTTGGGACCTAGGCTGTAATTCTAGGATTGTTTAAACCCGTCTGAGTGTTCCTCCAGAAACATGAGCTCAGCTCATACCAGGAGAAGTGAGCATGGCCATGCTTTAAACGAGCAGAGATGAAGGTCTGTCTGGCATTTTACAATATTCATGTAGAAAAATGGCACCCAGCAGCAATACGCAGAGATCCACCCCCGCCAAGGCATCTGGTATGGTTCTTATTTACACACGAAACATATTTTCTCAGGCAAAATCTCAGAATATTCCAGGCTCACACACTCACACACAGAACTCAAGACTTTTGCCCAGCCCCCTGACATCCCTCTCCTTCCCGCAGGCATGAATAGCGTCAGTAAAATGCAGGTGCCCGGGAACAGACGACCTGGGTTCCAGCCTAACTCTGCCACATGTTAGCTCACTGCCTCCGTCCACTTGTGGAACTCCCCTGTCCTTCAAGTCCGTCACCTCAAAAATAGAGATAATAACACCGCTCATTTTACAATATGTGGTGCCATTTAAATGAGGTGATCTGTGTGAAGCTTTTAGAACACTGAGCTCTTTAGGATACTAAGAATATACCTTTCAAATATAAAGTTTTTTAGGCTACTAAGAATTTAATAAAAGCCACAATTATTATTTAATCTTTTACCCCCCCTCAAAAAAAAAGCTTATTGGTCCCCCATTCTCCCTTCTTAGACACCGGGACCCTCACATTCCCCAGCATGCTTTGGTTCCACCCTCATGTGATGGGGGTGCTAACAGCAGCCCCTCCCTGGTGGCTGCCTTCCCTCTCCCACCCAACAGCAGACCAATGAGGGCATCACAGTCTGAACAGTACCTGATTGGAAACCTGTGTGCTGTTCTCCCTCTTCTGCAATGCTTTCTGAGTTGACATATATTTTATATATCATAAAACTCTCCCATGTCAGGTGTACAATTCAATGATTCTTAGTAACTTTACCAAGTAGCACAAATATCACAATAAACCCGTTTTAAAACATGTTTACCCACCCCCCCCATTAGATCCCTCATGCCCTTGTATAGTTTAATTTCTCTTTTCACCTCCGGCTTGAGGCAACCACTAATCTACCTTCTGTATCCAAAGGCTTACCTTTTCTGGACACGTTAGGTAGACGGAATCATACAGCAGGTGGTCTCTGGCATCTGACTTCTTTCACTTAGCAGCTTTTAGGTTCATCCACAATGTGGCATATATTAGTAGTTCAATATTTTCTGTTTCATCACTGTAAATCAGAATGATTTCTGACACCCCATAAGAATATTATATAACAATATTAATAATAAGTAATTAAAGCTAGCTATTATTATACCTCTACACACTGGCTTAAGTGCTGTATCTGCCTCATAGAACAGTCTTATGGGCTATCTAGGTGACACTATAGCCTTTGTTAAGTTAAAAAAAAAAACCTTAAATTTAGAAATGTGAACAGACTTGTCCAAGGTCACAAAGCAAGTAGGTGGCAGAGTAGAGACTCAAATCTAAGTCTGTGTGACTCCAAAGCTAAAGCCAGAGTCACCTGAGTCACCTTGCATGACAACATTTACAGGTGTCTTTGTGTTCTGGACCCTTCCATCACCACAGAACCAAAGCTCAGGGAAGTGTTCACAGTAACCCCACAGAACAGATGGAGAAAAATGGCCAGGCCCTTGCCAACTGTAACTCTCCACTCCTACGTCAGGAATCGTTACCCTACCCTTTGCTCCACGCCCGAGGCTGCCCCCGTTTGGAGGGCGTCTGGCTCCCTTGGGGGAAAGCTGGCGGCATAAAGGACTCAGTTCTGTTGGATTAGGGTTTCTGGTCTCTGCGGAGGTTGCCCTGGGCGCTGGTTAGACAGCCCAGGAAGGGAGGCTGGACTTTACCCTTCACCCTAACAGGGAGTGAATATGTGAGAGATAATACCCCTTGGGGTCCCCCCCACATTTTTCAGGTCGGATCATGGCAGCTCATTGTAACAATGAGGATGGACCTTCCGACCTACCCCCCAGTGGCATGTGAGGGGACTGACCCTTCAGCAGCAAGCTCCTGCTGGCTCAGGCAGAAACACCCTCCTCTAAAGCTTTCTAGAGAAATCTCCAGTTGTTATTTAAGGTGGTAGAACCTCTTCCAGTTTGATGATGAACCCCAGTCCCCACATTTATTTATTTTAATAAGGAGGTCAGTTTTATTTTATGTATTTATTTTCAGAGAGAGGGAAAGGGAGGGAGAAAGAGAGGCAGAGAAACGTCAATGTGTGGGAGAAAAGAGAAACATGGATCGGTTGCCTGTTGCTTCTTGCACGCCCCCAACCAAGGGCCTGCCTGCAACCCAGGCAAGTGCCCTGACTGGTTAATTCTACTGGCGACCTTTTAGTTCACCAGCTCAGCACACTCAATCTACTGAGGCACAGCAGCCAGGGCATCAGTCCCCACACTGATGATGAGCCTCAAGCAGGAGACACTCCCCTTCAAACAGCCATCACTATTATGAATGTATTAATATTTGCTTTAGTAATTATAAACACTGTAACAAGTCACACCCCAAGCCTGACTTATGGTTTCTGAGATATATATCCAAGCCACTCTGGTCAGCCACAGAAGGAAGGGTCTGCAGAGTGAAAGCTAGCCCGGCGTTCCACGGGGGCGGCCAGAGATCGCAGGAGGTGCCCCAGCGCTCTGGGAGCCAGCCCCGGGGGGCGGGGGGCGGGGGGCGGGGCTAAGAACCCAGGCCTCCGCTCCCTAGAAAAGATCTGGGAGAAGCACGGACTTGGAGAAATCCCACCCAGACTCTGAGCAGCTTAACTTAGGTAGCCCCTCGCTCCTAGCACTTTACGGTCGGCGTGTAATAACCTTTTACAGCATCATTTATTTGTTGGATGAAAATAACTATTTGCTGGTGTTAGCTGTCGGGATAGCGGCCGGGGCGGGGGGAGGGGCCGGCTACGTCCTGACCCTTGATCTGTGGCCGGTCACACAGGTGTGTTCACGCTGTTGATCCTGTGAGGGATGCGCCTTTGTGTACGCAGTATTTCCGTTAAATTCTTCCAAAAGGGCGCAAATAAAAAATAAATATATTGGAAAGGGAAGAGCCTGGGACAGTGCCTGTCACGTACGTAGCAGGTGGACGTCGCACGCACTCACGGGGCACATGACTTCGTCAGACCCTCGCACGGAGGGAAGCAGACGCGAACATGCTGGTGCTGTCGTCGGTATTCAGCTTCCTTCACAGAGCGGGGTTGCTTTGCCCCGACCCGCAGCTGGCAGAGGGAGGACCACGGTCCCATTTCTCTCTTGCTGCTGTGCGGGCGCCCTGACTCAACCCCGCCAGTCCGGTGGAGGAAGCCCCCCGCCCGGAGGCGGCTCTGCCCGCCCGCAGCCCCCCGACAGCTCCCGGGAAGCTGCCCCGGTCCAGAGGAGGTGTCACCGCGCCTGGGCCCAGCCCGCGGGGTCCCCGCCAGCTCCGCCCTGGCTCTCCCTTGGGCTTCGGGGTCTCGCTGTCGCTTGCCCGGCGGCTGGTCTTCCTGGCCGCGTCTGTCCGTGCATCCGTCCGTGCTTCCGTCCGTGTGTTGTCCGCCGGAGCCTTCCCAGCTTCCTCTCCGGCCTCCACGCCCTGAGCAATGGGGCCCAGGGACCCACCGCGGAAAGGGAGACCGAATTTCTCATTATCATTGGATGTCCTCCATAGGATGCGATGGTGGCAGGGTAAAATGCAGAAATGTGAGGACAATGCAGCTCTTTCTCATTCCAACCACAAACAAAAGCCTCCACTGGGGCTCCCCTTTACCTGGACTTACCTGCACAGGTACACCTGTACACCTGGTTCGGAGTGTGGGGAGAGAGACTGAGGGGGCTCCCGAGTCACCTCAAGGCCTCTGCCACCCAGCTGTAGGACCTCGCACAAGTCACTGATCCACTGCCTCAGTTTCCTCATCTGTAAAATTGGAATAACAATAGTGCCCAATTCCTCAGAGTTGTGAGGGCTGGATGAGATAATCCCTACAAAGCAGAGCATCTGGGACACACGGGTGTGTGTGGACAACTCTTCCCTACCTTCCCCGGCCAAACTGGGCTTGCGCTTGTTTCCAAAATGCCCTGTGCATTTCCACCAAAGAGACCCCCTGACCCTCTAGGCCCAGGACAAGCACCCCGCCTTCTCGCCACCTGCCCCAACCAGACTCCCACACCTGCACACACTTTTTAAAAATCTCTTATTGATTGATTTGAGAGAGAGATGTTTGTTGTTCCACTTACATATGCATTCACTGGTTGATCCTTGTATGTGCCCTGACTGGGGATCGAACCCACAATGTTGGCATATCAGAACAACGCTCCAACCAAATGAGCTACCTGCCAGGGACACCTGCACACTCTCAACACACTGTTCATCACTCCTCCATCCCTGGGTTCCTGCCTCTGCCTTCAGTGCAATCACCGATGTAGTCACCTCCTCTTTCTCTC